TTAAGGGCTGGAGTCCCGGGAGGCACCGGCAGTGGCTGCTTCTACTTCCCACGGGTTCTGGAAAGCGAGACGGGGATGTGGGGATGGGGTGGTAGGTCTGTGGAGCCTCCAGCCCCGGGCATGAGGCCTGAGCTCGCGTTTTTCCGTCCTCTTGAGACAGCGCTGAATGACTGCCCTGCTGGCTTGAGGAAACCTTGCCACACAAAGGGCGGGTCAGGAGCGCACCTGGGCACAGGTGATGTAACCCGAGGTGGGCCCCGCTTGGGCGCAAACAAAGCCAAAGGCCCTGCTTCCCAGAGGAAGTATGTGCCTGGCTGCTGGTGTGGTTATTGTGTTTTTAAAGGCAAACTGTACGTTTTCTTCTCTAAGAACTCTAGCATGCTGGATGAAAAGTGCGCAGGTCTGAATTGTACAGCTTGCGTGGTCATAGCGGGAGCACACCCCCTGTGACACACACAGATGAGACACACGCCCTGCCCCCCAGAAGGCCCCTAGGGCTGCGGGTTAGGCTTTGGGTGGTTCGAATCTACCGGGGCTTCGTGGAGGACAGGACGAGGCGGTGGGTTCCCCTAACGATGGACAGCCCGGCAGCCCCTTTAGAGGGGTCAGTATGAGTCATAATCAACTTGGCCACTCTGGGGATTTTTCACCCCAGAATAGCCTGTGAAGTCATTTTGCCTGTTTCTGAATTTCATGTAAATGGCTCTGTATCTGCATCTATTTCTGGGTGGCACACACACACACATGTTCCACTTTGTTTTCTCGTGTATTATTTGGTGAATACTTGAGTCATGTTGTGTAACCATCACCACTATCCTATTTCTGGATATTTCCTTTGCTGTCAACACAAGCCCAGCTACTCCCTCCTACCCCAAGCCTTGGCCCCAGTCTCCTTCCCACCCCTTGGTAACCACTAATATGTGGTTTGTGCCTATTTCTTCCAAATATTGCATATTTGCTTATATCGTGCAGTTGACTCCTTTCCATGGCTCTTTCACTCTGCACCGTGTTTTGGGGGTTTGTGCACGTGGTGCTGTGTGTCCGGCTGTCAGTCCTTTGTTAACGCGTTGGCCAGATTGTGGCTAGCCATCACACCTAAATGCTACAGGACACTCAGGCTGTTTCCACCGTTAGGCTGTTGTGAATAGAGAGAGGTACAGTGAACATTAGTCTCGAATGTGTGTTCTTCTGTGTCTGCCTTCTTGTGGCATAGTGGGCTAATTCTTGGGTTACTAACCACAAGGTTGGCGGTTTGAATCCACCAAGCTCCTGGAAGGGCAAAAGATGTGACAGCCCGACTCAAAATCCACAGCCTTGAAAAGCCTTTGAGGCAGTTCCAGCCTGTGCGGTAGGGCCATGGTGAGGCTGCATCGGCTTTGGGTCGGTGTTGTATTCGCAAGATCTGTGACTTTTCTCTCCCATCGGCTGAAACTTTGTTGCAAAAGCCACAGTGGTTACAAAAGAGGACTAAAACCCCTTAGCGTCTCAAGGCAAAATCATTGTAGGGTGAAGAAACCTCTCTTACTACTTAGCTGCTGTCTCCCCTTGGGAGTTTATCCGTTTCGATGATGTTTCAGTTATAGCAATGTTTGTTTAGGAGGACCCACAAAGAGGATGGTAATTTGGGGGTCCCCAGGGAAAGGCAGTGAAAGACTCTCTTTCGAGGGAGTCTGAAGCTGAGGAGTGTCTGCAGCTGTTCTGTGTGTCGGGAAGAAGTGGGAGATGTGTTCGTAGAAAGATGTCCGTTGAATTTCTGATGGTGGTGTCTTCTGTCTTGGCCTCAGGTGACAATGTCGGTTCCAGGACCCTACCAGGCGGCTGTCGGCCCTTCCTCGGTGCCCAGCGCACCCCCGACCTACGAAGAGACGGTCAGCAGCCACTACCCTCCGCCTCCAATGCCCATGCCTGGGCCCACCACGGGACTCGTGACCGGCCCCGATGGGAAGGGCATGAACCCTCC